CTTGAACTTCATTACAAATGATGTAAATCTGTTATCAAAATACGATGTAAATTACAATCGGTAGGGTTTTTATAGGAAAAGAAAAGCAGAAATGTAGTCATGTGGAAATACAAGGAGTACATCTCAAGCGCGTGAAATAAACAACAATGAGGAGCTCACCATTCTTCGCTTGCGAAACGTCAGCCGAAAATTAGTTATAAAATAAAGAATGTTGGACAATCGTTTACGGTATGGGAACAGACCCCTTAATCGGCATTCTTTTCAGCAGAATTCATTGGTTATCTTGACCTGATCTGGCTAGTGGTATGTGTTCGTAACAAGCGTCTTCTAAGCCGGTATAGAGCATAAGGCCGATGACATTGAAGAGTAAAATCTCCTCGATGTCGACGATCGAAACGCATCCATTTTGGCCATACAGCTAAATCCTTTCGAAAGTAGTGTATAGAAAAACCTGGTTTATGTGTATTATTCCTGTAGCTAACATCTTTTGGCGCTCCTGCCATGCAATACGTTCATCCTCTCTTTTATATTTCTCCTTTCTTCACCATAATTGCCAACGTGTCTTCACAGTTTTCTACGTCAAAGCTATGTAACATGATCGTTTTGGCCGCGCGCTTAATAGGGACGCATTTTGGCCGCTAAATCATACTTTCAATGCACAAGAAAAAGGTTAAGGAGAACTCGCCAGGCGCTAAGGTCGGTTGTTTCTAATTTTAGATACAGCTTTTGACCAGAAAATGCAAAAAAAAAAGATCTCGTGCCATGGGCACTTTAACTAAACGCCTCATCGTCACTTGTAGGGTGAGTTTATTGCATGAAACATTTTCTCTCAGTGAACTCTTAGGCCTAGTTCAAACGTCGATCTTTACATGTACCGAACCTAATTGCAATTTGGGTCGACTCGAATAATTAAGAGCGGCAGTTGATTCAAACGTCTATACAAATCTGCCGATCCTAATTGATTCAAACGTCGATCTTTACATGTACTTAATAGAAACGTTAGGTTCGGTACATGTAAAGATCGACGTTTGAACTAGGCCTTAGATCTCACCACGTTGTTTCCTCTACTTACTTGGAGGACTGTAGTTCAACAGCTTGTAAGTTGCCTCAAATCCGTCATAATCCATGTTTGCATCATCGGACACAAACACCACCCTTAAGCTTTCGTGCAGTGAATAAAACTTTACAGGAGTAACCCTTGGTGTACCACATAGTTTTCCAGGCATCGCTTGATCACTGAAGCTATTCTGAACTTCCATATAATCACACAAGCAAGCAGTGCCATTACAACGTTGTAGATTATAGTCTGGTATTGTGACCTCAACACGGTATCCTTGTTTCCCTATAATCTTCCAGCTACATGTCTGGTTGAATGGATAGTTTCTTGGATTAAAGGGAGAGGACAAAGAACCCGATGTTTCATCGAGGATTACATCTGTTGGGCACACTGAAAAGAGTAACAAAGACTGTGTCAGGCTTCGAAACTGTTTTAGTTTTGATTTTTAGTTTGGAAAGAACCTGATGTTTCATTGAGGATCATATCTGTTGGACACACTAAAAAGAGTAACCAAAAGTGTGTCAAGTTCAGGTAAATTTATCTTACTTATAGTAATAAAGATGTCATTTTCTTAACTGCAATCGAAAATTAGCGGGTGAAGCCCCTTCCTGTTTTAATCCTTTTTGTTCCACAAGGTTTACAGTCAACTGTGGTCCACTGAATACTTTTCACTTTCTTCTATATATAGCTTATTCGCTGTATAGATGTTAACGAGCTTGTGTTTCAAATGGAATAATGGATTGTATAGAGAGTAGGGATTTGAGGGTTTGACTACATTCTTCTATAGACTCTAGCTGTTCATTGATCGTTTGTATTGTATTATTTGCTGGGTAAGCCCAAATCAAATTCCCGCTTATATCTTTAAGGGTATCATGTTTCCTGATAAACTGGCACAAGGACTTACGTGAATCTCCATCTATCGCCTGAAAGGTTGCATTGAACCCTTTGTTTAC